GTTGTTGTTATGTGCCGTGAAGTCGGTTCCAACTCATAGCGACCCTATATAGGGTTTCTGAGACTGTAAATCTTTACAGGAGCATAAAGCCTCATCTTTCTCCCATGAACAGGTGGTAGTTTCAAACTGCTGATCCTGAGGTTAGCAGCCTGATTCATAACCACTATGCTACCAGAGCTCCTTTATATATATATATATATAAGTCCTGGTGTGGTGATGTGGGATAAAGAAGTAGGTTTGAACCACAGGTCAGTGGTAAAACTCAACTCAACAGCTGCTCCTTGGAAATCCTATACAGGGTCGCTATGAGTCAGATAGATGTACTTGGTAGTGGTGGTTGTGTGCCACCAAATCAGTTCCAATTCATTGCCCCCCTGTATAGGGTTTCTGAGGCTGTGAACTGACTGGTAGATTCAAACTGCTGGCCTTGTGGTTAGCAGTTCAGCTTGTAATTCACTACACTACCAAGGCTCCATATATAGGAGTCCTAGTGCAGCACCGTAGCAACGCAAGGTTAGTTTGAACTGAAAGGTCAGCGGTTCAAACTCACAAGCTACTCACCAAACTCACCATATATATACATGTTATATACATGTATGGAGTCCTGGTGTGGCACTGTAGGATAAGCACTCGACCACAGGGTCAATTTGAGCCATGAGGTAGGTCATTGAAACTCAACAGTGCTCCTTGGAAACCCTATACAAGGTTGCTATGAGTCAGAACTGACTCAACGGCACTCGACAACAACATAAACAGCTGTATGTATATAATATGTCTTATATGTGAGTTCTTTGAGGGCAGGGACTATATCTTGCTCATCCTTGAATCACTGGTGCCTTACTGAGCTGACGAGTAGATGAAGAATGAATGAATGGAATACATGAAGACTCAAGTCTGCTGCTGTTGTAACGCTTCTGAGAAGCCATTACCATTGACTTCTGCGACTTCTTAGTTCCGCTGAAACAATGTCAAGACACCATTTGGGGGGAGGAAAGATGGAGTAAGGAGATGTTCTCAATTTTTTTTACATCGTTTCTACACAGTGAACCCCAAACTCATTAGTAGGTTAACCATAGACTTAGATCCAAACCTCGGCCCCCTTTTTCAGTGCTTGGATGAACAGGAGCTTGCTTCCAGGCAAGAACAAATGTCCAGGGCTGCTCTTGTACTTGGGAGCCAGAAGGACCCAAAGCAGCCTGATGCAGCCCAGAGAATGCAGGTGCGGGGGCACAGAAGGGGGAATAGGAGAAGGCTATAAATGCTGATCTCTCTCTCTCTCTCTCTCTCTCTCTCTGAGAATGATGTCACCTCTTCCACCCTGATTGATGTTTAGCCCTTGAGGCCACTCTTCCAACAAATGGTTTTTGGGTGTTTGGGGTTTTTTTTCCTTTAAATTGCTTACACAGGGGGTAGGGGTGAGTTCCCCAATAAATAGAGCAAGCATAGGCTTCCTTGTGCTTACTTACTAATCTGTGGTGAGTTGTTTCACATGGATTGTGGTGAAAACCATGTGAAATTGTTCACCACAGATTCGTTAGTACATGTAAGCCCATGGCTACCTTGCTTACTGGCCACTCAGGGACTGGTGAATTTAAGGAGACTTTGATTCTGCAGGAAGGTGCTTGGGGGTTGGGAGAAAGACTTACCAGCCAGACCTAGAGGCAGAATTTGTGATGTAGTAAAATTGTTCACGTCAGACAAGTAAGTAAGCACAAGTAAGCCTGTGCTTATATTGTTTATTTTGTAATCTGACCCTACTATTATGTTAACCAGAACAGTGGTTTGCTAGTGGGTTTACAACTTGGTAACATCCCTAGACTTCTTAGATGGTTCAAACTCTTCCCCCCTGACCTCCACCCAAACACACACACATACATACTAAATGTTGGTAAATACATAATACATTTTAACTAGCTAGAAGAGTTTTTTAAAGACTGATGTTCAGGAGAGTTCTGGTCCCCTGCTGCCAAATCTGCCCATCACCTGCTTGTCTCCTGGAAATGGAGGCAAACCAGCCAGATACAGTACGAATTTCGGTGACATAGCTGGAGGCCTTCCTGAGCCTGGGGCAGGGAGGGGGCGTCTCTCCAGAGCTCTTGAGCTTGGCTACTCCCCTGTGGCTGATTCCACACATCAGCCTCAGGGGGATTCTTCAGTTCCACTGCAGAAAACTGACCTGAACCATTAGTTCAGAAAGGGAGGTTTTACAAGAAACAGGAAGAGTCCCCATGTCCCTCACCCCACACAACCTGAACCTGGTGAACTTAATGCAGGGCATTGTTCCACAGCTGTAAAGATGTGCTTGTTCTGAGGCCCTCGGGACTCGCCCAGACTGTGGGTGTCCTGTATCTAGTCACACAGAAAGAATCTCAGGTTGCAGTCCAGACCTGGCGCAGCAGGGAGGGCAGGTGTGCCAGGAGCCCCACCTCCCACTCAGTAAGTCTTATGAAAATGGAAAACGAGAAAGAGTTTTTACAACATAATGACCTTGAGGCAGAAATGCATAGCCAGAGCACACAGACATCCCCAGGGAGCTGACAGGCGGGGTCTGCTCTCTTGCTATGCCATTGTTACCACACATTAGAGAACCCTCCTTGCACCCAGTGGTGCCCACTCCCAGCACCCAGCACCCAGCTCTGAGCTCTCCAAGCCATTGCTACCTTTGGAGATAAATGATAATGGGTTTTCAATATCAAAATTAAAGTAAAATCAAAAAATCCAATTCTAGTATTCTGCTGTTTATTGGTGTTAGGTGCCACCCAAATGGTTCTGAGTCACAACAGAATGGAACACTGCCCAGTCCTGTGCTGTCCTCACCATCATTCCCATGTTTGAGTCCACTGGCGCTGTCACTGTGTCATCTTTCTCAGTGGGGGTCTTCCTCCTTTGTGCTGACCCTCCACTTTACCAAGCATGATGTCCTTCTCTAGAAACAGGTGCTTCTGATAACGTGTTTAAAGTACATTCTCTTTTCTAAGGAGTATTCTGGTGGTTCTAATGGCTGCTAAACCACGTATTTTTGCGTCTGATTAGAGAAAGAAGTAAATCCTGGCTAAGGTTCCCTGATGTCAGACTGGCCAGCTGCTGGATCCAGCTCACCCCCTAGATGTACCTTGCACAGGGTTTGTGCACAGGGGCCTGGTGAATGTCAGGGACACCCAAACAGAGACATTCTCAAGGAATCCCACACACTAGACTCAACCAATCTCTTTTCTTTGGCCTTCTAGGAACTGAACCACCAAAAGACAAGACTATCATACTCGAGCAGCTCCGTAAGATCTCCCTACCTCTCTACAGCATTCTCTCAGCCCTCACCATCCTCGGCATGATCATGGCCAGTGCTTTTCTCTTCTTCAACATCAAGAACCGGAATCAGAAGTAAGCGGCTCATGCCCCCTCCTGGAGAAAGTACAAGACCCTCACCAGACAGCAGATTCTCCAGGGACACAGAGCAGTTCCTAGGGCAGTTTCCTAACCTGTGTTGTCAATCACTGGGGTGGCTTAGGTGCTTCACTCTCTCACACACCCTGGCAGGGCTGCTGGCTGCACATTCTATAGTTGCTAACCAGTGTTGAGTTAACTCCGAGCCCGTGGCAACCCCACGCATAAAGAATGAAACCATGCTGGGCCCTGCACCAGCCTCATGGTCAGTTGCAGATTGACCATTGTGATCCACTGGGTTTTCACTGACTGATTTTCAGAAGTAGTTCACCAGGCCTTTCTACTGCATCTTAGCATGGAAACTCACTGAAACCTGGTCAGCATCACAACACACCACACCTCACTGACAGGTGGGTGTGGCTACACGGGAGGTGTGTTGGCTGGGGCTCTTGCATGGAAGGTGAGAATTCTCCCACTGAATTATCAGTGCCTTGCTGCACAGTTCCAGAGGGTCCCATTTGCATTGTGGCTCCTGTAAGGGCACGATGTATTCAGACTGTAGTGTGAGGTCGCTTCTGGAGCTGCAGGACACCAGGGGCATGCACAGAAGTCCCTAAGTTTAGGGATATTCAGATCAGTTAGGAGAATGCTGAGTTAAATAAAACCCAACGGTACAAGTCCATAGTCTTCTCAGAGCCTTGGATATATGCATGTGCATTTTGAGGTGCTGCTCTAGGACAAGAAATAAGGAAACCAGAATCCCCCAAATGTTTGCCCCCTTTCCACCAGCATCTTTGGGAAGCACTGCTGGAGGAGAGGGTCACTGGTGGTTTGGTACCTGGTACTGGTGATACCAGTGTACAGCATGCTACAGTTCAGGAAGCCCCTCCCTTACATCCTCTCACTCGACCCTCCTGATAACCATGTATCCTAGATGAGAGTGGTGGAGAGACCCTGTCCCAGGCCACACTGCTGCATTCTTTTGGTTTCTGTCCTGGGTTCTTTCTCCCAACAAACACCCTATGGATCATAGCAGTCCAGTCTGCACCTGATCATGAGAAGCCACAGAGAAGGTTCCTGACCAGTTAGACTGGTCAGTCGTGGGAAGAGCAGGCCATCCGTACATGTTTATCAAGTACAGCTGGCTGCTACGGTTTCCATAGCAAATCTTAGAACCCAGCTCTGTGCCTCGGAGAGGTCGAGCAAGGGCTGAGTGTGGGCTGTTGAAAGGCACAGGCTAGTGCCAGCCACGTGGTACCGCAGTTCTACCGTCGTGTCCAGAGGCCAATTGCATTGCCTCACAGGCTGCCAGGGGAACCAGACAGTTTTTCTCTCTGCTTGCAAAGAACTTGGAGTCTTTAGTTATTTGTGGGTGTGTGTGTTCGCTTTGGTAGCAATTACTTTAATCAAATCTGTTTCTTGAAGAACAAAAAAAGACTTTTTTATTCACCTGTTGTTTCTTTTATTTATCACACACACCAAAAAGTGAACGAACTTTTTCTATTCTGTACAAACCTTAACTGGTGATGATATGAAGGCATCTGGCCCATGGTCAGCACTCACTTAACAGACCTTAAGAATTCCCATGGTGACAACACATTGCCCCAATATTAAGACTTGTTGTTGTTGTTAAGTGTCGTTGAGTCAATTCCAACTCACAGTGACCCTATACAGGGTTTCTGAGGAGCAACTGGCAGGTTTGAACTGCTGACCTTGTAGTTTGCAGCCCAGTGACTAAATGCCCTTAATTCTTTAACATCCCTCTCTTCTCAGTAGGCTGGCATCCAGTTAATTTTTTTTTACTGGCTTGGTTATTTTAAAATCTATAAAGAGATAGGAAATAAATGCCATTGTAGTTCCAAATCCTCCCCACTTGCTACCAGTCCTTAAAAACCCACCTCCTCCAGGAAGCCTGCCACAACTCCTCTTATTATAACAAGAATGAAATTGCCCAAAAAAGAAAGAAAAGATTGAAGTCGCCTTAACAGTGCGTGGATTACAGAAGGCCCTCTAGGGATCTAGTCTCATCTCCGCTTCACAGGTAACCTAGGCAGACTGATGAGTACTCCCATTTTGCAGGTGAAGAAACTGAGCCTCGGAGGTAAAGTGACTTGCCCAAGAGTGCACCACTGTAGGGTGGCAGGGACTAAGCACTGGACCCAGTTCCTGGGACTGCAGAGCTCATGCCTGGCCACAGTTGACACCAGGGTTTTTATCTATTTGATGCATTACATTTTTTTTTTTTTTAATGGAGAAGGTTTTCTAAAATAATGGAATGCAAAGGAATGTGTTAAAGGAACAATCGACCATGATTACAGTATGCAAAAGAGCACCTGAATGATACGATACCAGAAAATCTAAGAAGCTCTGTGTGAGCTGAAAGCTGTATGTGAGCTGAAAGTTGTGTGTGAGCTGAATGACAGGTGGCTCCAGGCACCTGTTGGTAGACGCCAACCTGTACAGGCGTTAGTGCAACCTGGCTTGCTGGATCCCTGAAGGAAGCGAGGAAGAAGTAGATAGAGTTTGGGAATATAAACAATTTCCGAGCCACAACCTGGTGAAGGCACGGGCGGGGAGGGATGGGGACTCTGTTGTCCATCTCCATCACCTGTGACTGGGAGAGGTCCCTGACTACGCTGTGTGACACTGGCCAGTGCAAGTGATCCCTGCAGCTACAGTGACCACCTAGACCTGGTCCACTCAGTGCCGGAGAGCGTGGCGTGGAAGTCTCCCTCCTCACAATGGAAAGTTCCTGAGCTTAACTGTAGGGTGCTCTGCGTTTGGCCTTTCTTCTTGGCTCCAGCCAGAAACACCTGTCAACTTAAAGCTTTTGTGTAAATTTAAAAGAGATCGTTGAATAAACTGACACTACCAAGATGGCTCAAGAGAAGTGGCAGGTGAGAGAGAGGAGATAGTGTCTGGGCCATTTAGTGAAGGGACAAAGAGCCCCTAGAAGGTGGCAGGGCTGGGAAGGAGCTGGATGAGGGATCCAGGGCTTCTTAATGAAATTAGCAGTCTAATTAAACAGATTCTGTCTTTCTCTCGTCAGGTTGATAAAGATGTCTAGTCCATATATGAACAACCTTATTATCCTTGGAGGAATGCTCTCTTATGCATCTATATTTCTCTTTGGGCTTGATGGATCTTTTGTTTCCGAAAAGACCTTTGAAACACTTTGCACTGTAAGTAATTTTTTACTCTAATGGCATATGGCATAGACTTTTCTGGGTACCACTGTCATCAAAAACATAGACGCAAACACAGAAATGCATGAAAATCTTCATGAACAGGCAGCAAACTACCAATTCAGCAGTTTATGCAACTCAATGGGGAACTACAATATTACTTTTAGACCAGAACAGATCAAAGTACTACCTGCAATGTGAAGTCCATGGTCTTGTGAGACCACTGCTGGAAGAGAGCCCACTGAGAGCTGACTGAGTCACAGAAAAGGGAGGGAGAGATGTCACCAACCAGAACGGCAGGGTCAGGCTGCTTAGTGCACCAGCAAGAGGTGTTTGGATGGACACCTCAGAGTCATACAGAAAAGACTGGAATCATTATTGTCTATTTTAACAGTGTTTCTCAACCCTTTTTTTTTTTTGGTTTTCATTTTTCCTTCTCTAAGGAGCCTTTCAAAACATTTTTCCCTAGTTCCTCCAACTCTTGTGAAATGTTAATACTATGTATATAATGCATGTCTATTTGTATGACTATAAATATGTAGGAGTTCTGCTGTGGTGCTGTAGGATAAGCACTCTACCACAAGGTCAGTTTGAACGCAAGATCGGCAGTTCAAACTCACCAGCCACTCTTTGGAAACCCCATATATAGGGTTACTATGAGTCAGAACCTACTCAATGACACTTAACAACATTTATATGTAGGGTTGGTGTCCATTGGAGTCAATTCTCTGGCAGTGAGTTTGGGTCTGAGAGTTTTACTGTCTGTTTGTCGATTTAAAAAATATAACCAGGTAGGGATCTCAATCTCAAACTTTTTCAGAAATACATCTCCAGGACTTTCTTTGAAAGTGCCTCTGGGTGAACTCGAATGTCCAACTTTTCTTTTAGCAGCTAAGCTCATTAAGCATTTGCATATACGGTTTATACATAAAAAGAGGAATAGTTTTTCACCTTCCAAGAACTAGGTTTTTTTGTGGCCTAGGGGACTAGGCCTGTTGACCCCTGTTGACAATGCATATATTTAAGAAAATTCAGAAACCATGTCATTAATTTAATTATCTTTTAGAAAAATTACTTTGAAATTAACATTTTTTAGTTTTGATACCTAACAATATAGCCCTAATCATTTGTTTTAATATGTTATATGTTAGCAATTAGCAATTGTGTAGAACTGACTTTCAGTTAAAAGTGTTGTTGTTGTTAAGTGCCATTGAGTGGGTTCTGACCCACAGCGACCTGCATAGGGTTTCCGAGGAGTGTCTGGTAAGCTTGAACCACGAACTTTGAGGTTCAAACTGAATTTGCAGTCCAGCACATTAATCCACAGCGCCACACCAGGACTTCTAGTTAAAAGTATCATCAACTTATTTTTTCAGATGAGAGAGACAAATTAGGATTTATTTCTGGACTTTGACTACTGGGGTCTTTCAAAACTGGCTTAGCCATTTGGGTCTCTGTTGTCAAACTGCAATCATTCAGACAGTTCCCAGTCTGGAGGGCAGGGTTGGAGGGGATGGCCAAAGGGACAGTGTTGCCTGGATTAATCCAAAAGCCTCTCTTTTGTTGTGGCTGGTCGCTTTGTTTTAGGTATCGATGGCAATGCCAGTGCTTTCTTCAAAGCTGTCTCCTTAGGTTGTATTTGCTGCCCTATAGTTTTAGTGTTGGGGTCCTGGTGTGTTGCTGTAGAATAGTACTGGACTGCTAACCATAAGGTCAGTGGTTCAAATCTACCAGCTGCTCCTCGGAAACCCTATGTTGTTATCAAGTGTCATCAAGTCAGTTCCAACTCATAGCAACTTTGTGTCGGGTTTCTAAGGAGTGGCTGTTGGGTTTGAGCCCCTCCAGGAAACCGTTTGCAGGGTCACTAGGAGTCAGAATCAACTCAATGGCCCTTAACCACAACAGAGTTTCCATATCTCCCACTACTAGAGGACGATGGGCTGGATCAACAGTGGAGAACACCTAAAAAGAACTGCAGGTGACCATAGCAAGTGGAAAGGAGGATAGCCCCCAAGCAAGATCTTATGTTATAGATGATGGTGCCCCCTGAGATTGGACGATTGCACAGTTTCAGAAAGGTGTTCATGTTACCAGTGAATTCAGTGTGGCTGGCAAGTGAGATGTTCACACATGTGCTTACTTGGTCCTAAAGGTTCTGCTTGGGAAGTGTGTGGTTGAGTCCCCACTAGCCCAGCAGGGTTGTGAAGTTGCTGGGGTACTCAGGCACCTCCTGGCTCATGGGGTGGTCAAGCCCCAAGTGCTCTTGGGCTCATTTGGGTTACATTTACTTCTCAGATATTTTTATTCCAAGCTCAGCACTTTCTCCCATCATTATTCTGCCCTTGGAGAGAATATGGAGGTGAATCCATCCAAGAGCTGCGAGTCCCCGTGTGCCTGACGTCAGGGTGCCAGGAGTCAGCTTTGAAGAAGCTGAGCTACTCCAAGGTCCTTGTGGTTGATGTTTAGTGGAGTCTGTGGCACTAGGATGACTGCAGCCGGTGGGCGTCTTGCTTGTTTTAGGGAAGATGTGAAGCCCATGGAAGACCCCTACCTTTCTGCTTCAGCGTGACTTTTACACCCATGCAATGCCCTCCAAGTTCATGGACACCATATTTTCCTATGGTCAGCTTTCCTGAGCTGTGGTGATGCTCTGATGCCCCTGGAAATATTAAGTGAGAAGGGGAAAGGGGATGTTTCTCTATGCTTTGTGCTGCAGAGTGAGGAGACCCTGGTAATGACAATATTGGAAATTGTACCAGAGAGTAGTCTGGCAACCCTGGTGGCTCTGTAGAGTAAGCACTGGACTGCTTACTGCAAGGTTGGCAGTTCAAACCCACCAGGCTCTCTGTAGGAAAAAGATGAGGCTTTCTGCTCCGTAAGTATTTACAGCCTTGGAAACTCAATATTGAGTCACTGTAAGTTGGTCTTGACTCGATGATAATGGATATATATATATATATATATATATATATATATATATATATATTTTTTTTTTTTTTTTTTTTTTTACACAAATGGAAGTCAGCACTTGACTGCTAACCTGAAAGTCAGTGGTTAGAACCTACCAGCCACTCAATGGGAAAAGGCTGTGACAGTTGACTTCCATAAAGATGAAAGCCATGAGAACCGTATGAAGCGTCCGACTTTGCCCTACAGGGTCACTATCCGTCAGAAGCAACTCGATGCAGTGGGTTTGGTTTGAGTTTTCTAATACCTTAGTGGCTCCTTAAGGAGCCCTGGTAGCATAGATCAGCAGTTCAAATCCACCCACCACTCTGCAGGAGAACGATGAGGCTTTCTGCTCCCATAAGCCCTGTATAGGATGAGTATGAGTCGGAACTGACCCCGTGGTACACAACCACCACCACCACCACCACCACCAGTGGCTCCTTATGAAGTGGGGGCCTGGGACTCAGGGACAGATCTCTACCCTGGTTCCATCGTGGTCCCAGTACCTCCCAGGGGCTCTTGCCTGGACCTGACCCGAGTTCCAGTCTCTAGAGAGAGGTTTGAGGCAGATGGTTAGAGCTGCCCAGCCCTCCAGACCTCTTCCTCCCAGAAGCCTCTGACATGCCCACTTGTTAAGGAGCCAAAGACTGTTCAAACGCAGGTGCTTTCTCGAGTTTGACCTGAATTCTACAAATGCTGGGTGACACAGGCCAGGGAGCAAAACAAGGGACATCCCCCACACCGATTTTTTTCTTTTAATGAAGGCTGACATTCTATTCTTGGCGTTGCACTAGTTTGCGTGAGCGGAAGGTTGTCCTGGGGAGCTTGGGGAGGTGGCATGAATAAATCATAAAGTACTTTACAAATCAGCATCAGCAACACGAGGGCTCGGGAAGATGTTGGGACCTGGTTCTCATCACCCCTGAGAATTCCTTTCTATGCAGTAAGGACTGCTTCTGAGGCTCTGCAAAGAGGAGCCCACACTCATGACTGTGGGACAAAAACATAGATTAACTACTCTGGATTGAATCAGGTCAGCACACATCTGTACATGGGTTGGAGTGGAGGTTATACCTCCCAGGAGAAAGAACTTGCTACCAGTCCCCAAACGAGTTTCACTTGGGTTGTGCTTCACCTGCTGACTCAGGCTGTTTGGCTCCTGTATTTCACTTGGTGTCTTGGATTCTATTCTGTCTGGACCTAGAGGGTGGCCTTCAAGGCATTCTCTCTCCATGTGGAGAAGAGAGTAGATGCAGGGTGTAGAAGTAGGGCTATGTGGCCTGGGTGTGATCCTACCTCCAGCACTTACTGGCTTTCAGCTCTGGCAAGTGATTTAGCCTCTCTGAGCCTCAGTATTGTCATCTGTAAAATGAACACAACATTCCCTGTGTTGTGGGTTAAAGAGCACAATTCCATCAAGCCAGCCAGGACAGAGGGTGAGTATACGGGCCGGGTCTAGGGGTGGAGTGGAGAGGCATCCCAGTCTGTTATCTTTCCTTGCATCACAGTGCAATTTTCTGAGCCCCACATTATATCCTACAAGAAATATTGTAGGGCAGGGAACCAGGTAGATCACGAAGTCTGAGCCACTGCCACATAAATGCTCCCTCTTCTCCTTTTAGCTTTCACACTATGTCCCTCAAGGGGAGTGTCTCTGCCCAGAAGGGCCCTAGAAGTTAGACAGGGGCATGGGTTCACATGTGAGCGTACACACAGGCTCTGTCTCTCTCACACATGCGCACACACACACACACACACACACACTCTGCTAGGAAAGCAGTTACACTTACTCCCATCCCTCACTCCCTCGAACCCCTCCCAGAATCTTCCCCACCTGTCAGTGCTGGTTTGAACAAGTCTTGCAAACTGCTCCAGCTACACCAAGCTGTTTCCCTGGACACTGTGTGGGTAGGAGAATCGCCATAGCAACGTGGCCCCGGTGGGCACAGAGCTGTATGAGGACAGTGCTGGGTGTGGGACAGTGGGACACAGCCCCTGTGCCAGTGTGTGGGAGGAGGGTCACACTGACCCAGCTCCAGGATCCCAAA